ATGCTAAAAGCTGGTAGAGTCCCCTTCCGCGGTTCCTCTCCGATTTAACAACTCCGCCAGGCTCTGCTTTCCGTCTAAATAAAATCCACACCGTCTAATTAAACAAAAGCTCGAAAAGTCGAGGTGTAACCAGCATAAATGAACATTAACTTGAAAATAATAAAAGTGAAGTAGCTGCTGGGAGGGAAGACGACGCCTCGCCTCGCCTCGCCTCGCCTCGCCTCGAATTTCATGGCATAATAAATGGCTTGCAGACCGATGAGAAAAACTTTTCCTCCTCGACGAGTGATGAAGTAATGAAAGCGCTAAAGAAAAATTACAATTCACGAGCGCAGAGCAGTTATGAACTTTTTCACGGTGCTAAATAATGCACACGAAAGTGCTCAACCAGTCAGGGGTTAAGACGGGGGACCAGCAGCGGTTCGGTTCCTTCATTAACTCCGCCAGTGCCGCCAGATGATGATGATGAATTTTGTATAAAATGCTTAAATACCTGCAATTTAACTTTTGTCGGGTGTCGTCCATCTCACCAGGTGGGAGAAAGGGGTTTCGGAGGAAGTCCTGGGTCTCAGGACATTTCAATATGCAGCTTGGCGTGGTTCTTTTAATTTAAATTGACTTCTCTCGGGAAGGACACGGCGATTCCCAGTGGATTTTTTCGGGTCGGAAACTAATCAAAAAGCTATAAAAAGTTTGTGTGTACGGTAACAAATTGGAAAGATTTTAGAGAGGACCTTGAGGATATAGAAAAGGAGTGTGAGAGAGGAGGGTTGGGGTAAACAAGTAAGTTAGTAAAATAATAAATACAATTTTAAGGTATTTCTTTGTATTCCTTAGAAAAAAAAGTATATTTCTTTATTTAAAAATATATATATATATTATTTTAAAGTTTATTTATTATATTAATTAAAATTACCCTCCCATTCTTATACCTCAAATTAATTACATTAAATCTTTTCACATTTTTCAGCCACTTCCTTTAAGTTTTTAATATCGTTTCAGTTCTGCACATAACAGCCAACTGTCATTGCAATTGTGCATACAAGTACACATAATTAATTAAGGACCAGACACATACCGCCCCCGGGCAATATCCCCCAAACCCCACACCCACCCACACTCCTGCCATTGTCCTTTTCTTCGCGCAGTCATCATCATTCTTTCCTCCTTCCCTGTGCTAACTGAAATGTCAAAAATGCAAGTGACAAGTGTGAAAAAAGGACGAGCTGAAGAAAAACAAAAGCGGACACACACATGGCCCAAAGGATGGGGCGGACTTTTCCTTTTTCATCGCGGAAGAAGGGGGGTTGAGCCATTGTCTGCTTGAAGACGCTGCGCGTTCGTGCAAAGCTGAATAAATTGAAATTTTAAAATGTATGAAATTAATTTTTGGCATCGTCCTTCGGTGACTGGGCTAAAAAGTTCACTCCGACGCCTCGGCGATGATATCACATGATTATTTATCTTTTACGCACACTTACACCCACACCCATATGCAAAGGACGTGGGTCCTGGGCCTGACACTTGCCAACACACTTTGTCAAGTTTTTAGTATGTTGTCAGCATTTCCCACCCCAGCCTGGGACTCTGGGTTTTTGTCTTAGCCCTTTTAAGCCATTTGTCAAACACTTGGCATGACGTCATGTGTAAGTGTGGGTGTGGAGTTTTCCACAGATTTTCTAGGGTATTTACAGCTCCGATTTGGGCGGCAAACTGCCTCGGTTAGGTTGCAAAAATTTACATATAGATTAGCAACAGGACGGAGAGACACCAACGGACACTTGAATGCATTCTGCCTGGTCCTTTACCGATTCCGAGGATGATGTCGGTGCCGATGATGGCGGTGATGATGTTGATGATGTCTGCAATGCATAAGTGGAAATCATTAAGTGGCCCGGCCACATCTTGTAAACCGGTGCGTAATCCTGCAGAGCCAACAAAACGGTAGCAAACACTCGGAGAAAAATATATGTATTAGGGGAAGGAAAGGAAAATGTGGGAAATATATTTTCATAAAATATAGGTAGTAAAGAAGGGGGAATAAATTTTAATAAAAATAAAAGAGCAATGCTAAAGAATTATAATTAATTATTTCTTAAAATAATTCCTTTTAGAATGATATTAAAAGGTAAAGTAAAAAGTTTTTCTTGTTTAAAAAATATAAAATAAAAACTACAATTAATTTTTTTTAGGTTTAAACTCAAATTTTTCCAAGTGCATGGTCAATTGTTTACAGAACTGAACTCGCAGCTCGGGCATTGTTGCCATTTCCGTTCGCTTCTCTCCATGGAGCCCATTGTCCATGGGCTGGAAATCCCCTGACAACACTTTGGCCCTTTCACATTGTGCAAAAAGAAAATTTCTGCGAGCAATCCTTGAACAATGCATGAAATAATTGCACAGACCGGGACTGTGGACTGTGTGGAGTGGCAAGGAGAGCAGAGTCCACAGGTCCTTACAGGAGGACATAATGACGGGCCGCTGGATATTGGCCGATGATGGGCATTAAAACGCGTATGATGAGGCTTAAGTAGTCACACACACACATACAGTTCTTTGGGTTCTGGTGTCCTGGAAAAGGACTCGTTGGGGTTTAAGTGATGCTAACATATTGTGCTAGAACCTAGGGGAGAGTTTCCTCCGAGAGATGATATTTCTTGGCAGTGATTACTGTGATTGCATATTGCAAAATGAAAATCTGTTGCGGAAATTAGGGTGAGAGTGAGAGGGATTCACGGCCGATGGGCAAGGTGAATGTGGTATTAATTTATTAACATCTGTTGTGATATTCCCTAGGGGGAGATCTAAACATTCTCTGGATAAAAAAATGCTTTAATAATAAGCTGGAATATTAATCTCACTTAATTAGTGGTAATTGAGCTTTCTATTATCGCTTAAAGTCTCAACTTTTCAGGAACTTTCTCAAATTAAAATATTAAGGACCTTCCACCTCATTAGCTGCCATTTTCCGTATCAAACAACTTCCCCTTTTATGCTAACTTTAAAGCATCACTCGCACAGTCCCTCCCAGTTGGGCAAATCGATATCCTGCGGCCTTGAGCTTGACATTTAAATATACTCACAAAAGGGACACAAAAAGAGAGCACGTGCTGTCGACTGTGTCAAGAGGAGCACGCCCAGCGGCCACCCACAATTTCTTTAGAGGAGCCGCTCGCGCTCCCTAAACGAGTTCCAGTTCAAGTCAAGGTCGCACGCACAAAACGGGAGAGTCGAAAAACTGGTTGTGGGTGGAAAAGCCGGCCGGCATGACCTTGGAATTGAGCGAGGAAAAAGCTGTTGCCGGTAGGAGACGACAAATGGCAGACCCTTGGCCTTGGCGATGGCCTTGAAACTTTGTTAGGAGCTGCTCCCCACAGCAAAAGTGTAACATCCGGAGGGGGAGGAAATAAGCTCAATTGGCATTTTGCTTCCTGCACCCCGGGAATCTTTTTCTAAAATGTTAAAATGTTTCTCCTTTAATGGCATTTATTGAGAATGGGAGTCAAGGGAGTAGAAAGAAAGGGGTTTGAATAAATCTTTATTAAATAAAATGTATAACTAGTTATAAATATATTAATTTATTTAAGAAGTACATAAGCTGGATAATTGAATATAAAGAGTTTAAAATTAAAGAACTCCCAATATATATTTTAATGAACTTAAATTAAATCTAGTTCTAAGTTTACTAATAATAATGGTAAATATGAATTATTTTTATAGTAAAATAGTTACTTAAATTTCCTGTTCATTAATATAAAGTATTCAGTTTTCCAACATATGTAGGTTAAAAACCCTTTTTAGATATCCCCTTTTTTAGTTCCCTAATTTTTCCCGCCACTGTTTCGTTTGGCTTGCAACTATCCAGGAACAGCTTATCATAATGGATGAGCTCTAGTTTCCTTAGAAAAAAGGGGAGCTTGGTAACGCACAATCAAACACACTTTCCAAGGTTAAAATTGTCGTCAGCAGAAAATGTTTGCAGAAGCAGGAACTGATTTGGCTTGAAGGTCAAGCCATTTGGGGGTCCTTGGGGGTGGTCAAGTTTAAGGTTGCCAAAGGGGGGGAAATGTTCAAGGACCATATTGCAGGGTTTCAAGTTTAAGGATTAAGTGTGTATGGGTTTTTGAGTTGAAGGAGATTTCTTAGGAAAGCAGGTTAGTGGTTGAAGGAAAAGTATAAGTTGAAGGAGAGTCTTAATAAAAGGAGATTCATACATACATTTATTTCGAGTAGTGAATGCTCTTCAGATTTTTTATAGACTTTAAGAGAGAGGTTTTAGTAGGACAATAAGAAAATGTTAAAAAATAATACAGAGTTCATAAGGAGTGCAAATATTATAAATTAATTGTTTTACTTTACGAAATAATTCCTTGTAAAGTTGTTTCCATGCAAACCAAGCTCAAGTTCCTAACAAATAATTGTTGATTCATTCCTCCAAAAAACTCCCAACAAAGTATACCCAAAATTACTTTCGAATTTCGAAACACACAATTTCCCCTTATAAGAGTCATAGCATTTACAAGCAAGTCCAGACTTATGCCTGAAATTCGAAATAAATTCGAAAACACCCCTCAAAAGAACAACTCTCTGAGAGCTTACGTAGCCTTTGACGTAAGGCAGCTACGTAAAGTGTGTTTTCCCCAATTTCTCGCACATTTTCCGACTCTCTAGTCTGCTTTTTCTCTCTCACATTTCCCTCCCCCTTTTGTGAGTCCCCGCAGTAAAGGTAACAAAGGCAGCCGCACTCCTTGGGGTGGCAACTGGTGGCAAGGGTGGTGGCACTCGGCACTCGGTGGTGTGAGGCCCTGTGGTTGGTGGTTCAATTGGTTGGTTGTTGGCATAAACAAAGCACACACACACCACCTCTGGGGGTGGTGGCAATGGGTAGGGTGGCAAGAGAGAGCAGAATCGCTTCCTGCAGGAAACCAGACACACAGCGAGAGAGAGTGAATTTATAAATGTGACTGCGGCAAGGATATCGGCAGTCAGTCCACGCCGAAACCTCGAACAGAGAACATTGAATAATAAGCGGAAGCGAAAAAGCGCACAGCTAGAAAAGTTCGTCAAATGCGACAAGTTTTCCTCGTACGTTTTTCCCGCCAAATGAGTCAGAGAAATTTTACAAGTGCTTGAAACGAAAAGAAAAGACTTACAAAAAGTGCAAGCTGGAAAAACATTTTATGAACATATATATTAAAAATAAACAAAATATATTTTGTTTAAACTCAAACAAAGTCATCATCATTAGTATTTTGTGTGAAATAAAATACCACCATGGCCATTGCATACTTCATACCCGATCAGGCCCAACTATTGGCCCGAAGCTATCAGCAGAATGCCCAACAAGCAGCCACCAGCCAAAGGACATCATCTGCCACACCCACACAGCAACCAGGACAACAGGCGCAACAGCAACCTGCACAGGAGCAACAGCAGCAGGAGCCACGACAGGCGCCACATCGTCCTCAATTCCGAGCCAACATATCGGTGCCCCTCGGCAGGCAGCAGGGCTCGATGACCATGTCGGAGTTCGGATGCTGGGATCTCCTGGCCCAGATCTTCTGCTACGCTCTAAGGATCTACAGCTACAATTCCAGCCAGCGACGGCCGACGGTCATACAGATATCCTTCGAAATCAGCGGCGGCAGTCAGGACTCCGATGATGATGTCACCGATGCCAGTGCCTCCAAGGATAACTAAATTTGGTTCCCAATTTTTCACCTGGGTGGCAAGAGAGGATACTCTCTAGGGAAGGCAGGCTCAATCAAAGCGCATTGTGATTTCTTTTTTGGGTATGGACACACGAGGAGGGAAGAGTTTTTGTAATGAAGAAAAAAGGATATTTCCACCACAAAATAAGAAAAATATTTTTAAACTATTTTTGAGATAGAGAGAGAGAGAGGCAGAGGAAAATTCAAAATTTGTCATCGATTTGCTGAAAGTGATATTGACTGTTGGTTAAATATTTTGATGCCATTTTCAGTTCAAGGAAAATGATTTTCTTTTTTTTTTTTGGCAAGCAAACAAGCAAAGGTTTCCCGGTTGGTTCAAAATTATTTCGAGGGCAGAACATAAAGTTGTGTAAAATTATCATAAACCTAATCAGTGTCTATACATATGGGTAAAACCACCAGCAACGTATTAAGCTAACAACTAATTGTCAAATTTTTGCATTTCAACTACTTAAATATATATAGAGTTTTAACTAAGCAACTCCGAACTACCATACAGAACCAACAAAACCACAAGAAGAACAAAAGACAACAACTCAATTGTACAAAATAGATTCTAAGCAGACATCAAATTTTATATGTTTACAAAAAAGAAAGCGTAACAGAAAATACAAAAAATACAATGTCAATAATCTAGCTACAAAAAAAAAGCAAAATACAAAGAACCGCCGAACCGAAAAAAAAAATAAACAAACTGAGAGAGCCACAAAAAAAACCAAAACAAAACATTTAAGCAATTTTGATACAATTAACGAAAAACAAAAAAGATCGAAATGTATTTTACAATTATTATTGATTTTAGCAAAATTCAAAATGTATTATTTACCTTTTTGGCATTGCAAATTAAACAAAAAAAATATATTTAAATTAATCAAATGTAAAGAGTTAGCATTTGTAAGCAATGAAACATTTTATAAGCAAGCGAAAAAAAATAAATACAATTTTATAAAAAATATAGAAATATATTATATGCATTTTTACTTTACATATTATTTTTTAGAGATTTTTAAGTGGAAAGATTTTGGAAAAACAAAGGCTATAAGTATTCTATTTCAGCTTACTGAAAACGAAAAAATATTTTGTGATTTTTAAAAGGTAGAAAAACGATTATGTTGAAATTTCGTTTAATTTAAATATTTCTGTAGTGACTAGAACGACTTCTTCTATTGTTTTTATTATTATTCGTGCTATTGGCTTTATTAAAGATTTATCAAATCATTTTTTTAAATTATTTTAAGCACAGTTTAAGCTTAATAAAAATATATTAATACACATTTCTTTCTCAGTTTGTTTTGTAAAATAATAATAAATATTACAGAGAAAAAGCAGAATTTCTGCTGCAATCCTTTCAAGTCAACCTCTATGCTTAGAGTTATTAACCCCTTGACTCCTCCATCCTCACTTAACCCTTTGAAAAGCGCAATGGCGGAAAACAAACCATTCACAGCCAGGAAAAAAAGAAGGAAGCAGACATTAGCTGATCTTTATCGTGAAAACCAATATGTCACCTTGAAAGGGAAAAACTGTTTTTGGTTAAACAGGGCTGGGAATTTTCCCGTTGTGTCATGCCGGGCACACTCCGCGACAAAAAGGGTTAAAAGGCAAAGGTTATGCCTAACCGCAGATCTCAGCCTGTGCCCGCAAATGTCCAAGTCACCGGGGTCAGAAGTGCAGGGGGTGTACCCTTTTTAACGCACCCGAGAGCCCATTTAACCCCAGAAGCGAGGAGAAAAAAGTGTAACATCTGTGGCTGCCAGCGATCAGCGGCGCCCGATAGCAGTTCGCCAGTCAAGTAATAATTATGCAAACATTTCGGGCCGCTAATTTGCCGCCTATCTTAATTTAAATCGCTGAAAAGCGCACTGGAACCAGCGAACAAAAAATTGTTTAATTGTCGTGACATGACAATAAGCGACCTGGAAATTAGGGTCCTTAGCTCTCCTTCTTTTTTGTTATCCTTTTTTTTCGCGTGTGTTTTTCGTGTGGCTTGATTTTTTGGCAAAGATAAGCGAGGGGAAAATTATAGGGTATGCAAATGCTCTCATATAGTGTTGGTCGCGTGTCCTGGATCAAGTTTTAGGTCCTACTGGAATTCAGTTTTAGCGCCTGCAATTAAACCTGTAAGGGGGAACAGTTTATGATAACATATTTGTAGTTAATTTTGTTAATTTAGTGGCACATATGTTAAGCGGATAGAGGTAGATGGAAAGTGGAAATGTGGCAGGTTGGTTTATAAGAAAAATATATATTTAAAAAATAAAAAAGAAGAAACTAACTTTTATACTCCGAAGTCTGGAGCATTAGGAATAGAGATTTAGGCCAAATGAAAAGGAAAAATAACTTTAAATTAATAAAAAAACAATTATAAATACCATAATAAATTGCTTCTGACTGAAATTATAATTCCTCTAAGGGGTTATTAATATTTAAATATTTATCTACAATTTTATATCATAATATTTCCGAAAAATAAAAGTTTTAAAATCTCATAACAAATCCAAAAATTTAATTATTTCAATTTGGAAAACTTTTCCAAGCTAGTTTTTTCCAGGTTAACAAATCTACATACTTCATTTTTAATTTCAAAAAATCAAAATTTTTTTCAATTTTTCACAATTTTGACGATGTAACCCCTTATAAAATTTTGAAAAAAATTATAAAATTTTTTTTTCCCCGAAATGGCTAGAAAGACTCCCCTCTTGATGCTGATCAAGAATATATATGATTTATAGGGTCGGAAATGACTTCTTTACATCTTTATAAGCTTCTGACTGATGTTATAAATACCCTGAAAGGGTATAAAACCTAAGAAATATATTTTATTTTAATAAAAATATTTATTTTCCAAGTAGAAATTCCGACCCCCTTACATCTTCTCAAGTTTTCCCATTGCCTTGCCAAAGCAGGCCGAAATAGGTGACATTTAATAATTATTATAGAGAGGAGACGAAATTTTTAAGTATGAGCTAAACACTTGATTGGCGTCATAAAACCAAGAAGCCCCAGGGAGATTTCAATCTGGCAATCATTATGAACAACTCAGATAGTAGCAAGAAAAGTACCGATGCCTTGAAGTACGAGAAGGATGAGCACACCAGCAAAATACTGAAGTCAATGGAATGCTTTGAGGATGTTCACAAGCCGAACGTGACGAAGAGCTCTCAAGAAATTAGCTTGTCCAAATCTAGTGGAAGTCCTGAGTCCGAGGAGGACAACCAGCGCAGCCTTGTATCGAAATCGGAAGAGAAAGATACAGAATCGGAGGCAAACAACGATTATACCAGCTTCCTGAAACACATGAGCGTTCGTTAGTGAGTTTCAAGTATTTTTCTATAAATTTTAAACATTATTATCCTGACTTATGTACTAAGCTCACACTATCTCGTGGAGTTGGGTGAAGTAAAGGATAAGAAAGGAAAGAAAATGGATTATAGCGATTACAGCTGTAGTGAATGTGAGTAGGCCCAGGCTATAGAATATTTTAAAGTATTTTAAACCGGCTAACATAGGTGCCGCTTGCGAGGGACCCTCATGTAGCTGGCAAGTCCCTGCCGAAAATGGACAGGATTGCTCTTCAGGAGCTCAGATGGATTACCCACCCCCAATGGATATGTCTGAAATGTCCGAGGACGGGCACTATTATAGCTATGGGAAGTCCCTGCCAAACTCTCAGTCTGGCTCAGATGAGACAATTGTGAATGAGCCCAGGAGATCGCCTTCGCAGACCTCGCAAAATCCCGCCTGCTCTGTGAACTCCTTCTGCTGTCCCCTAAGACGACCTGGCCAGAAGCCAGTCTGCTACTCGTGCAATCAGGGATATCCCAGCCAGGAGCACTTTATGAGCTCTTCCATCTCGCCGCCCATGGAGGTAGATCCGAGCTCGGGGTATCCCTATTACAATTACCCTGAGCCCGGCAGCTATCCCGGCATGGCGATGAGATCCATGGGAAATATGCAACTGGATCAAAGGGGACGCGGTGGTCAAAAGAGCGAGGATACGCGCTCTGGCTCTCCACCAACATCCAGTCCATCTCTAGCTGGAGGAGCAAATAATCTCAATTCAAGCGCATTCAATATGGAGGAGTTTATGCAAAAGTATCAGAAGAGCCTTCAGCAATGTTATGCCACCGCACAGCAAGGTATTTTACGATCTTTTACTAATATTTTTAATATTTTTTAAGCAATCTTTCACTATAATTTAGGAATACAACAAACCTTTGCGCAGGCCAATAGTCAGCCATTTTTTAGCCAGCCTTCTCAAGGAAATCCACAGCATTATCCCACTACCAATCCAGGTAATTAAAATCAAATTAGCAAAGCTTCAAAAATAATAATAACTTTCTTAACTTATTTACAGGTGCTCAACAAATGTTTGCCAACCCGAATCAAGGTAGGTCTTAGTTTTAATTAAAATAATCCTTTATAGTTTTCCTTTGCCAGCAACTCCACAATATTATGACAATACCAATCAAGGTAATACTTTAGGTATAAATTTTGATTTTCTATTAATGTGTTTTGATTTAAAGAAGCTTTTCCAGATATGCAACAGGCTTTTAACTCTCCCGTAGATCCCCAGCAATTTTTTAATAGCTCCAATCTCGGTAAGTTTTTTATATTTAATTTAGAATTTATAATTTAATTAAATTTACCTCAAGGCGGTCAATCATTTATGCCGACTTCCATGTCTATGCAGCCTCCGGATATCTTTGGTAGCAACACTGGCTTCATCAGCGACACTTTGCACACGCAGACCGTGTATTCCTCTGACTACAAAGCGTTTTCTAACTCGGGAAATCAATTTAATCACTTTCCCAATGGTATAGACATTGGCTTGGGCCCCGACTCCTGTCCCGACTACAGGCCAGCTGGATACCCTGGCCTGGCCGAGATGGGAGCCGGTGGTCAAGCCAACATGAACTCATATCCGCTTAGTCAAATGAGGTGGTTACTTGTGAGGTCTTTATGCCTTGAAATATATTTACATAAATTCATATATTTCAGTTATACAAGTCCTTACTCCTACGACATGTCTTCCCCCTCTCCTGGCCATCTTTCTGGTCATGGAAATCCAAGTAAGTGGTTAAAGTTACTTGAAAATATATATTTAAAAATATTATATTTAATTCACAGTGTAAGTCGAGTGACCTGACCCTGGAAAGTGGCTTTAATTAAATTTAAATTTGCTTTTAGCAAGAAAGTTAAATAAAGTATAAATATTTTATTGGCACTGTTTAATCTGCTTTCTATTTTGAGTAAAATAAATCCTTAAATTCTTCCCCTTCTTGTTGGTAATGACTCACAATAGCCCCTGTTCCGCCTGAACTTCGCCTGACATGCACTTTAAGTCAAAGCTAATTACACTGAGCTAGTCTATTGATTTTAGCCGTAAAGTACACTAACCCGTGAAGGAACCCTCGCAGTAATCAAACAGGCGGCCACATCAGTGACCTAGTTTTCCCAGCAAAAACTAAGGCGGAAAATGTGGAAAGACTGAAAGCGGCCAGGCAAACAACGCCCCCGAGAATGCGAAAAATGGTTGAATGTGGAGCGAAAGTGAAACGCAATATGACCACAAAGGAAGCCAGGTTCTTGGCAGTATCTATGTCCACTTGGCCAGGAAGAGAGCCCAGGCCAAATCAAATATCAAAGTGCCGACAAAGAAAGCTTTGGCCGGTTAATTGTTTGATGTTAAAGAGGCAAATGAACTAAAGCCTCTCGGATTGACATTCATTAATCTCATGATTCATAGCAGTTGAATAAAATCTAAAAAAATATACATATATAACTCGTGTGTCAACACCCACAAAACCACAGGCGGTTGTCTAGGATCCACAAACAACACGCGAATGAAAGAATTTCCCAATGATTTATTTTTTACGGGGCAACACCTTAAATTTTTTGGTAGAAAGAAAACGGTCTGAGGTAACTCCTTCAGTCTCCGAATATGATTAATTGGCCCAAAAACGAAACGAATTTCGTTTCTGAGCAGCGGTTGCGCTTCATTATCAGCGTTTTGGCCAGTGACCATCAGCGGCAGTCAATTACCGGTCGACAGTTTCGTTTCTGTTTTTCGATTCTACCTAGCAATCAGCCTCACATTTTGGGTACACTGAGGGAAATTAGGAAGTAAAGTAGGAGGTACTAGTAGGTGTTAAAAAAGCTTTCAAATTTACAAAATATACCAGGAAATGAAAGGCTTTCAAATATCAAACAAAAAATCCATGTTGCTTATTTAATTTATCGTAAGTCTTTTATATTTTCTTTTATTTAATTATAGTTTCTTTATTTTTCTCTGTGTACTCTTGCTCTGCCATTCGGGTGTTGTTGTCAATGTCCTGCTGCGCTATTATTTGTCTTGTGTGCGAGACTCCGACTCGGTATAAATTGCTTTACGCCACTTTTGGGTCATTAACGAAATTGAAAATAGAGACAGACCCAAGACCCAAGGAGTGCTGGGTGGGGGTAGATATATCGGGGAACTGGCAAAACGGAGACCACCGAGCAGCTCCTATAAAATCAGTGCCACCTACTTTGGTAGTTGACCAACCATTAGACACCAACAGAGTCCAGACTGTGGGGAGTCCCAGGGAAATCTAAACTTCTCCCTGGGAGATTCAAAACAGATGGTGGGCTTACTTACGATTTATCAGTTAGAGTAATGGTAATGGATATTGCCTGAGTACACAAAACAATGAAGAAAATATGGCTAGTATTTAATATTTAATTTATAAAATAATGTAATCTTCCACAAGTTAGTTATCTTTCCTTTTGCCTAATAAAATTGCCATGACTTTCCTCTACCTCCAACTAACCCTTTTCCACTGCAACAACTCAATCGAAAAGAGTCTCAAATCTCACAAAGAACATTATCATTATCCCCGCCAGCCATGAGAAGGGCTCACTTCTTGCCCAGGGATAAATGTCTATAATTTAATCGAGGGCACGACTTCAAGTAGGTACCTCTCCTCCTGTCCAGGCAAGAAGACAATAAAAAGGAGCAAAAAGGGATCGGATCACATCGCAAGAGGAGAAATCAAAGCGTAACAAATTCGCCAGGGGCAGGACTTTCACCCAGGGAGAAAAAAAAAAGAGAAAGGAGAGCAAAGGACACGGATTAAAAGGCACGCGACTTCGAGTCCTTTTGTTTGGATTGAAAGCCGATTAGGCCGAGGGACGCACAGAGGCATTTGCACTTCATTATTATGAGTTATGAGGGAACGCCGGCTGGTCAAGCTGGTCCTCCACTCGCAATTATGTTACGTTACGTAATGTCACCCCGGGCAAAAGTTATTATTATTAGTTGCCTGCCATGCAAATCGATTTGTTGTCTCCACATCGATATATCTTTTGACATCCGAAGGGTGTGACCAATTGGCATTGGACAACCAACCGGACACGCGTCGCAATCAGATCAAAGGGAGATGGAGGGGGAACCTCCATTTGCATAGAAAATGCTGGAATTCAATAAATGAGCTTGGACATAGGTCAATCGCTTCCACTTAGTCAGATGTCCCATGGATGTCGAGTGGCTGCTTAGCCTGGGAACGAATATGAAAGGCGATTTGCCAAGCTTCTCTTTGGTTTTTGGTACAGATGTCAGTCAAACTAGAGGAATGGTGATTAAGTTATAAATCAGAGGAAATTTTTAAGAGGGAAATGATTATTTCTATAATTTATTTTATAATAAAAACCCAAGAAAAATCTCTTTAAAAATTAAGGAGGATTATCCCTTTGGCAATCCTTAGAGTCCCTTGCCTTTCTCACGGCTATCATCTTACAAAACACATTTTTAACACACTTCCACTACATAAATTCACCCGAATTCCTCCTTGAAAATTGTGTAAAGGATACAAGAACCCTTTGCTAAGTGGCAAACATCAAGGGAATCCAGGCGGGGCGTTCCAAATGACGACAAATTACACACACCAACTGGCGGCGGGCCGGGGCCCTGTGTCTTCGTTTGGGTATTTACAGGAAATTTGCAAACAATATTGAATTCGAAGCGATCAAAATAAAAATTAATCAATGCACTTAAAACTTTAAAAAACACACATAAAGAAGCGGACTCAATGACGTGGAAAAGGGAGGAAGGGAAACCCTTTTTTTCGAGCAACCCCCTTGGGTGACTTTAAAGTGCTCGGGCAGGGAACGTACTCTCTTAACTAATTTATAACTTATGACTGCATGGCCATGGACAATTTTCCATGCCACTACAAAGGAGAGCAAAAAGCCAAAATTTGACATGAGTAGCGGTTGCATAACCCCTTCTAAAAAAAAATACAGAAAATAAATGCTAAGCCCCTTCAGACGGGACATGTGAGTGTGCACATGTCAGCAAGCGAATTAATCGAAGAGAAATGATTTATTTAGCGCTTGGACAGACGGGAAACGGTGACCCAGGGAAAGGGTTACCAGAGAACCCAACCAAAGGCAACCCTCGAATGGACCTCCTTTTGCACCCAAATCAAATTTAAACTGTTTTCAAAACTGCACCTCTCATTGATGGGCATTTATCGGTTCCGGGGGTTGGTCTTGCATTTTGAGTTTATTTTATTGTACCATTTTTTTTCGCACAATATCAACTGCACTTTTTTAAACCTAAATTCACACTGCAATTTCAACTAATTTTCATTTTCAGGGTTTATTTATTACTTTCTGTTGTGAGCTGCGTCTTTCAAAATATTTATGACTCTGGGTTTTTTTATGGTGTTTCTCAGGGATTTGATTGATTCGAGTGGCTTTATAGGGATTACTGCTTGCAATTTGCTAAGAATTTTCAGCAATTAATAAACAAAATAAAAAGGGAAATGCATGAAATACATAAAAGTATTTTTCTCAAGTCGGTTACATGTGGGAATTTTCAAAAAGGGGAGGAAAGACACAGGAAATATCCTTGTTTTATTACGAATATTTTTTATTGTTAAGACATAAAAGATACTGAAACTATTTGACTTTAAATAAATTTCAGTTTTTACTTTTCTAACTTTTAGAACTTCTTCTAAATCCGATTCCCTTTTAAATTCTTGTCTCAAGTTCCATAACTTTTTTGTCATTCACCCTTTGGTTGGGCAGAATCAGACATCGAAAATCAAATTTTTGCGTAATAATTTAAAGATTGAAACATGTCTTACCAAATGCTGGACAAAAAGGTGCTGCAGAGCGTCAAGGATGTGGCCCACAAGCTGCGCATTCACTCGATCACCTCCACGCAGGCGGCCAAGTCCGGCCACCCCACGTCCTGCGCCTCCCTGGCGGAGATCATGGCGGTGCTGTTCTTCCAGACGATGCGCCTCAACCTGAAACATCCCCGAGATCCTTCCAGCGACCGACTGGTGCTATCCAAGGGCCATGCCGCTCCCATTCTGTACGCAGCCTGGGCGGAGGCGGGTCTGTTTCCCGTGGAGGAGCTGCGCAATCTGCGCAAGGTGGACAGCGACCTGGAGGGGCATCCCACGCCGCGTCTGAACTTCATCGACGTGGGAACCGGCTCTCTGGGCCAGGGCATCGCCATAGCCGCCGGCATGGCCTATGTGGGCAAATATCTGGACAAGGCCGAGTATCGGACGTATGTGATCGTGGGGGACGGCGAATCCGCCGAGGGAGCCGTGTGGGAATCTCTGCACTTTGCTGCCCAATACAGTCTGGACAACCTATGTGTGATCTTTGATATAAACAAGATGGGCCCGAATGACATGGCCATGGAAATGGAGGTCTACCGGGAGAGACTGGATGCGTTCGGTTTCAACACTTTGACAGTGGATGGTCACGATATTGATGAGCTGAACAAGGGCTTTCACAATGCAGCCAACTGCAAGGATAAGCCCACTGCTATCCTGGCCAGAACCACCAAGGGCAAGGATTTTCTTGCCGTCGAGGGATGCGAGGAGCTGCATGGACAGCCGCTGGGCAAGAAGGCGGAGGCTGCCATCCAGCATCTGCAGGTAAACTTAAGATTAGTTAATATTTATTTATTAAATTATTTGAAATGTTTTTCGGACAGTTTCTGATCTCCAATCCCAATGTGCGTTTATCACCTAAGAAAATGGGCAAGTGCGGCCGCGCTCCCGAGGTGAATATCACCAACATTATGCTGTGCGTTCCGCCCAATTACCGCCTGGGCGACTCGGTGGCCACCCGCCTGGCCTATGGCACAGCTCTGGCCAAGATTGCGGCAGATAATCCCCGGGTAATTGCCCTCGATGCCGACACCAAGAACTCTACGTACGCGGACAAGATGAGGAACGCCTTTCCAGAGCGCTTCATCGAGTGCTTTATAGCCCAGCAAAATCTGGTGGGTGTGGCCGTGGGTGCCACCTGTCGTCGTCGCACCGTGGCCTTTGTGTCCACCCATGCTACCTTCTTTACGCGAGCCTACGACCAGATCCGCATGGGCGCCATCTCGAACACCAATGTGAACTTTGCAGGCTCCCACTGTGGCTGCAGCATCGGAGAGGACGGACCCTCGCAGATGGGACTGGAGGATATAGCCCTGTTTCGCAGCATTCCCGGCAGCACGGTCTTCTATCCCACGGACGCCGTGAGTGCCGAGCGGGCCGTAGAGCTAGCCGCCAATACCAAGGGCGTGTGCTTCATCCGCACCACCTATCCGAGCACCAGGGTCATCTACAATAACGACGAGGTGTTCGCCGTGGGTCGGGCCAAGATCGTGCGCCAGAAGCCCTCGGACGAGGTGCTGCTAATCGGAGCCGGGGTCACCCTCTACGAATGCCTGGAGGCTGCCGAGCGGCTGGAGGAGGACTGCATCACGGCCCGTGTTCTCGATCCGTTTACGGTGAAGCCCCTAGATGTGAGCCTCATTGTGACGCACGGAAGGCTCTGCAAGGGCAGGGTCGTTGTGGTGGAGGATCACTACCAACAGGGCGGATTGGGCGAGGCCGTGCTCAGTGCCTTGGCCGACCAGCGGAACTTTGTGGTCAAGCATCTGTATGTGCCCACTGTGCCACGATCGGGTCCAGCCGCCGTGCTCCTCGACATGTTTGGCATATCCTCCAGGAGTATTTACAAGGCCACCATGTGCATTATGAAAAAGTGAGTCTCCTGAGCTGAGGCAAAAATTTAAAGTATATTTTAGTCAATCATTAACTTTAAACTAACGAAAATGCACGGTTAAAGAAATTTTAATATTTGGACAATCCGCAAAATTCATAATACATATACATTTATATTAAATATAAACGGAGTAACTATTTATTTAAGCTGTTGGTTTTACCAAGAACCTTTGAACTTAATATCTTTTAAGTAAACCTATTTTTTGAAATAATTATTTAACTTTATTAACTCTTTTTTAAGGGTGATCTGCCTTTGTTCCATTGACTTTAGCTTCGATTTGTTGCATTACCTTTTTGCTCTACCTGAACTAATAGCCGTGCAACGTAAAATGCTCTTCATGCCACTGAATTTTAAAGAAATATATGGCATTTGGCAAAACTCAATTGGTTGGAACTAATTTTTGGGATTTTACAGGCTGACACGATCATTGACTGCGTTGGCGTTGGGTTCGCTTTCGATTTTGACATATTTATTTGGAGTGACCCTTTTTCCAAAGGCGCAACGAATTGTTGTCGACCCCCTCTAGTTGTGGTGATAAATATATGTTTGTGGTGTTTACGACTTCCTTTTTTCTGAGTTCAGGGTTTTAAAATATTATTTTAAGTGATTTTGCGAGGGTATATCGATTTGTACAGTGTTTCATGATTTTTATTAGAATAGAAATTTAAAAATGTAATTTGTATGTGAATAAATATCAAGCAAATATATTTAAGAGAATTTTCTTTAAGAGAATTTTCTTAAAACTAAAACTAAGAATTTCTTGAAAACCCCACATTTACCCAATAACCAAATATAAATCAAACTAAAATCTTTACCCCATACAAAATCCCTTAAAATGTAAACTAATTTTCAAAAATAAGTATCTTCTAGTCGAATCCCCGCACTTTTCCCCCTTATCTAGTCTTCGCCTGACCAAAGGCTATTTAAAAATGATCCCTAATGACATCCGCTGCCCTTCGTCTGATGTGGCATTCATCCATTTAGTCATCTGCCTCTGTGGCAGCCGAGGTCCGTTTATTGTTTTTCGCTTCCTAATCAGTACATTATATTGTTTGTTTGCTTTCAGGCCAAGAGGATAAAGGGGACCCAAGGACAACAGGACCTCCGACAGGATGTGAGTGAGAGTGTGCGGTTAAGGGTTGGCCAAGTGGCCCAAGTATCCCTTCCGATTCGATCAAAATTTACGATAAATGCTTTAAAAATTCTATACACCTCAAATGCACAATAGATAGCGTTGAAGTTTTTCACTTTACGTTAAGTAAGCATGGCTAACTGGATTGGTTAGAGATCATAAATTCAGCAGAATGAAAATAGATTAGATGACATCATATGTGGATTGGCTTTTGTTCCTGCCACACATGTGAAGGAGTTGGATGCTTGATATGGGGGTAGATTTATGAAGGGAACCACTGCACCTGCTGGGGGTTATGAAAGACCACCCACTCCAATCAGAGAATACATATACATATATGATTTAATGAGCGCAATCTGTGCTATAAAATTTGTAAGCAATTATTTGCTGCGAAAAAAGAGACCAAAAAACAATCATCAATCTCTGTCTGTTGCTGTTAAAAGCACATGCATTTAAATTAGACATTTAAGCCAGTCTCCCCCGCTGGAAAATCTACTCCCCCAGCAAAATTTAAATTGAAACAAGGGAAATCTATGAGTTATTATAGGAATAGAAGATACCCTAGGAATATTTATACTCATTTATGTCTTGGTAACAATTAAAATTCTTGTGGAAATATAGCTTCTATTTATGTATAACTTCTAATTTATATTTAAAACATCTACATTAGCCTTATATGCCTTAAAAATTCTACAAAAAATAAGGGGCACCCCCAGAGAAGTGTCAAAAGCAAAAGCTGAACAGGAGCTGTGCCCGGAAAATGCTTAATAGGATTTTTACAATTTTTACTATTTTCCTGCGGCAGCTACTGGTAACCAGTCACTCTCCACCCTTTTTCAGCTTTCTCCTCTGACACTCTTTTTTTTTTTGTAATTCTCCAAATATTTCGCCTTTTCACCGGATAGGAAAAAAGGGGTTAGAAAAATGCCAACAGAGCTCAGAGCACCCCTGTGTGTCGCAATGGAAATTCTTTTACACTTTTGTTTTCCCTTTTCTTTGGCTGTTGTTACAGACACACACAGGATATGGTTATATTCTTATTCCTGTTGTTAGGGTTTCATGCACCGCATAACATTAAAATTCAGATTTTGATTGATCATTCTGGTTGAAGCGATTTAGCAGGAGAGGGGGAAAGGGTGTGGGTTCTGGCCAGGAAGGTATTGAAAGGACTTTAGATGAAGGATGTGAGGGGAGAGGATTTTTAAAGGTCGAATCTACGATGTTTAAAGTTTGTCTAACAAGGCTGTTAATTGGTTGCTTTAAAAATATAAATTTTAGTTAAAGAAAATATTTAAAATATACTTAATATTTGTTTTAAAAGTCTGTAAACTACTTAACCTTCTTAAAAGCCAATTTTATCAAATTTCTTTTATTTAAAAATATTTTTTTTATTAAGTTGATGATACTCTTTTATAAATTCTTTGTATAATTTCTTTCTGCAACCATAATTTAATAAATTAGAATTAAAAACCCAAGACTTGCAGCTGCACTGCATTAATTTCTTCAATGCATTTGCATACATAATTTCTCTATAAATCTGTAAGTTCGCCGCCAGGGACAGTCATGGATGAACTTTAATTTCGTTTGCCAAATAAACAAGAGTCCTTTGAAAACATTTATGCAAATGCTGGCTTCTTGGAAGACACACATTTAGAGGGCGTCACGCTAGCCAAACTTTCCCAGGGAAATTTACAAACAATCCACCAAAGTCCTGCCACTTTCTTTTCACACAAAACCCACTGCGGAATCCGGGGGAATCACTTAAATATGCATGAGGCAGGCAGTCTACGAAAATTCGATTAACAACAAATGCATATTGATGGAATAATTGAGCAATTCTAATGAACCACAACACCAGAAAGACGACGATATAAAAAAAAGCCAAACAAATTGCATTGACAATTGCCAATGGATCGACTGAGTTTTGTGTTTTTTTTCCAAGGAACCACAATATTTGCTTTTGATTGACAACAAAGTTAATTGAGTGTGAGCCGGGCAATTGCATAGGGCCGGGAAAAAAACAAACATTTATTAGATTTAACTATGATTTTTTTCTAGAATCCCTTTGGGTGGCTTCCAGGGGGTAGAGCAGAGTCATTAATTCGCCTGACAGGCCCAAGGTGAGGTGACTGATGATGGGGTGTTGAGGTGAGAGATCTCTCGGGCCTAAATGTCATTTCAATGAATTTATAATTGGGAATTATGTGAGTTTTTCTACACGGGATTTACTTTTTTTCCCCTCCAAATTTACATATTTTTTCGCTCTCTTTGGGCAATCCTGGTGTGTGTGTGTGTTTGCGCTTTAATTAATGATTTTATGCAAAGTTTTCTCAGAGTCTTTTATATTTTGCATACATGTGTTGCCGATCCATTAATCAGGTCGTCTAAGTAGCTGCTTGAACTCATTAACCCTTTTGTTCGACCCGACAGGCTGCCAAAGTTTTGTCTTATATAAATATTTGCATTGCCTGGAACCCTGAGAACCAAGTTTCCTTTGCAACGCAATAAATGAACACAAAAAGAGTTTAGAGAAAAGAAACAGATATCCTTATTAATGATCTTCTTGATGTCACACAGAAGTCGAAGCCTTTTTTCAGCCGTTTTAATTAGTAGAAACCTGACTGGCAACCACCCCGGGATTTTTCTTTTCCCAACCCGCTGTGAAATCCTGCCCATATATCAAATATCTGCTACTTTGCCTCCTATCAAGATGCCCATTAAGTCAATAAGTGGCCTCTAATATTATGCCATATTTCGGCAATGGCTAAAAAGAAAACACAGAAAGTTTGTGGAAAAACTGCCGGCGATAAACACGAATAAAACATTTGAGGTACATTATTATGTCAGGCCCAAGAATTATTGTCACAGATTGTTTTCCCCAGATAAATCCTGAGTTATGGGGGCAAACCCAGCGGGCAATAAAAAAACACTAAGGAGAGCAAGGAATGTGATGGAAATAACTTATTTAGAGGGGTTGCAGATTTTTGCAAAATATATTTTGTATTAGAAAACTTTGCCCAGAGTCACGTAAAAAAAGTTTACATATTTGAAAAGTATCAGATTTATTTTTATTGTTTTAAGATAAAGCACATTATTATTGTGGCTAAAAAAAAATTGTTGAATAATTTTATGAGAAAGAAAACTAACTTCGGGAAGAATTTTCATATCCTTGCAGCTTATTATAGAATCATGACTTCAAATCAAAAATCGATCATAACTAAGTCAAAAAAGCATCAAATTAAAGTCGGAAGGGTTTCCTATGCTATGCTTTTCCAGGCTTGCAAATCTACATACTAAATTTTAAATTTTAAAATATTAAAACTTATGTCAACATGAATAGAAAAAATCACCTGTTGATGCTGATCTAGAATATGATTTGTGGGGTCAAAAATAAGTCCTTCACTGTTTTGCCAGCTTCTCACTCAACTTATAATTCCCTAAAACCTAAAAGAGTACTAAAAAACAAAGAAATAAATGTGTTCTAGTAAAAAACAATAATTTATGCGGGTAGCTAAACAGTTATCCAAAGCTTAACCCCATCAAGCCGCAAATTAGAGCCCAGAGCGCAAAGTCACGCTAAAAAAACAAAACAGAAAAAAATCGAAATAACGTTGGATAAATCATATAATTAATTGTTTCGTAATTCGGTTGTGTGTCCAAACATCATTAATATCTATAGGATTTTGACGAGCTGCTACCAGAGAGACAGACAGAGATCTTGTTGGCATTAAGCCACCACTTTGACTTCTGGGACCCGCATAAAGCCTTCGGGGCTTCGGTTTCAATTAAACGCGCGGATTAAAATTTACGGCTACTTTCGCACTTTGTCGTCTCTCCGACAAATTGATTTAGAAAAGAATATATACACAGTATAGGGATAATGGCATGCATGATTCATTAATAAAAATCATAATAAAGGCGTGGCGAATGACGTCACGTTTTTGTGATTAGCTCCGTTAAAGAAGCCAAAGGATTGTTGTGGGTTCGTAATTAGTTTTTTCCCCA